CATATTTGCAATCATCTTTCTACTTTCTGATTATAGATAAGACAGCCAATTTCCAATCACGGGCACTTTGGCAATTATAATCTCATAGCCACAATACACCACACCTTGGCACTGCTAGTGTTCTCTTTCTTCCTGGATTCGGCTTCTCATCACCCAAAATGCCCAGAGCATCTTTTACATCAGTGTTAAATGTGAGGATGCAAATGCAGAATTGCCTTCATGACGTATACATCCAATTTAGCAAACCTATGGGCTGATTAACTTCTAATGTTGACGGAATAAAGCAAACACAGAAGTCACACTCCAAGTTTGAAATTTTTGACTATCTTTTGATAGTTCTTAAAAGAATACTATCAAAATATTTAGCATTATTAAACTAAAGTCTAATTTTTAACAACATCTAGACCCATGCAATTGTGTAATTGCAGGGACCTGAAGATCCTTGAAGGACTTTGCAAAAACAGTACGAGCTCTGGTGCAGGGATGTATTCATTTCTTAAGAGAACATTTTCCAAGTCTTGTAGCTGCAGAAGGCTTCCTGGACACAATGAGCATTCTCACCGCTGGCAGTGCTGAGTCCTCGCAGCTTTCCAAGCACTCCTTAAAAACAGGCCCTATCTTCCTCACCTCAGATTCTTTATAGTGAAACTCTCAGAAACGACAGTCTCTGTGCCAAATGTAGGCTGAAGTAACTAGCTCGAGATCATAAAGCAAAATATCTGCAGATTGTAGAGTAGATACAGATACTGTGACCTTGAGTATTGTTTTTAAACTGACTGTAGAAAAAAATACATAATTATACAGATCATAATTATTGAACAGTCAGTTGCAGGTGACACCTGAGTTACTCAACAATTTTTGTTTCTAATTAGAAATAGACTTTTGGCTTCTGTACTTGGATTCTGACTTGTCTTTAGTTAAATACCACTTAAATCAGTGTTAAGTCATTACATTCTATTCAATAGATTTTAGACTGAGCCAGCTCCGTGCTCCCTACAAAGGACTACTTACACTCATAAAACAAACACCATTTTATACGATGATTGAATAGAGAGCCATGCTAGTCATTTTTAAACTAATCGGACATAATTCACTTCTTACCATCAGAAAATGGGCTTGAATAAATGCACCCAATGTTTGGCAGAAAAATATTTTCCTCATTCTCTACCATGCAGAGCTCAGTCACATCTGGAAAACCAGCAAATAACCATTTCTCTTCTTAGGTACAAGCAAACAAGGAGCCAGTTTAAGCTCTGCTTACGAAAGTTAAATATAATAGCAGTATATCATAAACACCTGAGGAAAAAAAAAAAAGAAGACTGTAGCACTCACCACATCCTGGCTGGGCAGGAAGTTTTAACAGAAATGCTGAAACTTACTGAAATAACTGACAACTGTTTGGTACAGAAGACGAGTAAAGAGAGAAATAAGCAGTCAACTTTTCTCCAATCAACCTTAACAAAAATTTTGGTAGAAGTGGTTTGGGCCCTTTGTCTTTTGTTGCTCACTTGACAACCACGATGAACAAGTAAGAAAAAAGCCACAGAAGAAAATATTTATAGCAATCTGTGCTGAATATTAGTGTAAGCACAATCTTTATTTCATTTTGAAATTTAAGGAAAAAAAATTTCCAAGCACTTGCAAATTCTCTGCAGGTCAAGGGAGAGTACTGTTTTCTGAAATGATTCTTTCCCAGCAGACATCCAACTTTAATAAATGCTCCTTTTCATAGTGAAAATAACTCAGTACAGCCTCTCCAATGAAAACATTTTCCCCTGGCACAACCAGGCTTTATTTCTAACCTCAGACGCTCTGGTTACTTTGGGAACAATCAGCCACTTCTATTGATTAAAAGGTGGAAAAGCAAACGTGAAAATAATTTCTCTTCAAAAGGCAGTTTTCTACGGCTATCTTCCATAACACGCGAACAAGAGGAAATAATAAAATAGGATCTATTTGCACTGCATCCTTTCTGTAATTTTATTGAGTGTTAATCTAAAGAATTAATACAAATATAAAGCTACCCCATTCTGTGAAGATTAAGAGTCTTTACAGTACAAAACTCCCTGAGATACATTACAAGCTCTATATGTAACTTAAGGAAAGGATCGCATACCTCTTTAGTCCATTTAAACCATAATCAAAAAGTAACATTAATTCTTCCCATTTAAAGAAGAAGAACATAACTGCCTTAATTTCCTCTACCTCCACCCCAACATTTCAAGGCATGGAATAAATCACTTTTTCAAAATGTATTTGAAAAGATTTTTCTATTTAGAATAGAAAATAGATTGGCTTAATTTTTTATGGATGGTTTATATATATCACCTGCAGCATCTTGTGGAGTCTGGTACATGATCTACGGCCCAATTTGCTAATACAAACTTCTTTCTTATCATTGAATTTGGGCTCTACAAACTGAATTTTAAAAAGATAAGTCTTTCTCTTATAACCATATACTTACTGTTAGTTTATTGCCCATCAGCCCGTAAAGCGAGCCAAAAATCAGCCTAGATTTATAGAGATGCTGCATAACTGACTTCAGCAGCTGCAGACCACGTCTGAACTTCCTCCCACATCTAAAGGGAAATCTCTGCAATGCTCTTGCAAACACTTTGAAACTAGAAAAGGCCCCTTTTCTTCCTAAGCAAGTACTCTGCAATAGTTCTTACAAAACTGCAGTTTTCATTATACAATTCTTGAAAATACTCAATACGTTACTTACAAATACAGCACAACTGTGATCTTCTCATTCAAAATGATGCTTTAGATTATTGCCTGACTGTTTTCTGAATGTTATAAAACTCTAATTACTCCATGGTTTCAATTCCTGCTTCTCTTGGAGAGACTGAGAAAAAAGTATCAGTCGCAATCTTTGGAAATTCCTGTGCTAGGTATTACGGCCTGATCCTCTGTCTGTGGCACAGTAGTGATTATACAGAAGATTGTGTGTCAGGAAGCTTTCAGAGAAGGCTAAGGAATTTAGAAAGATTGAAAAAATACCCTATTTTTAGCATTCTGATGAAAAGCAGTGCAATTTCAAAAAGTAGTTAAAAAGACAGCTCACTACTTTTAAGAACATATTTTTGTATATAGTTAAGTGAACTGCGATTAAAAAGTAGACAGAAAAAAGGATAGCTCAAAAGGAGATTCTATTATCTTGACACTAGCTATCAGTGTGAATGCTATATTTAAAATTATTTTTTAAAAGTTCTCAAAACAACAATTTTGCAGAACTAGTAGCCACTGGGCAGAGGAACAGATGGTACGCAACGAACAACAAGCTTCTCCTTTAAACTGTCATTTAAGAGCAGTACAAATGAAAATGTGGCATCAGGGACCATTCCTACTGCACTCTGCATTGAGTTAATCACCTTCTCTGCTTTCCACATAAAATCCCTACAGCAACTCTGCAATTAACAACAGAAAAGTTCATGAAGTACTTTTAATTGTCTTTCCTTGCACAAAACCAGAAGGGAATAAACACTGGAGCCAGCATGATCTGACCTGGTAAATCTGTACCAAATTACTCATGAACTTCATTATTATTACAGATTTTTTTGTTTGTTTTGTTTCCAATCGCCTTTAGTTCCCTGCTTAGCTAATCATAGGGAACATCTAATTTAAAATAAATTACAGTCAACTGTCAGCTGATTACTAAAAAGAACACCTACCTGACATCCTTTATTGTTCGAGTCAAACCTAATCCTAGTCTAACCTAAATACTACTCACAAATGCCAGTAAACTCACCTGTTCTAACGCTCCTTGTTCGTTTAAACTGGCACTTCTGTTTCCTCACCTGTTCAGTTCCCTCTGATTTTATTCCAAGTGAAGTCTCTGGGTAATCCCCTGACCTTAGATAGGACCTGGATGAATCCGATAATCATTTGTACTGCACTCTTGTAGGGTATCACTTTTTACCACCAAATCTTATAGTTGCAGGGAGGGGAGGGGCTCTGAACTTCCTGAGGGCCAGGAAACTGCAATTGAAATTTCTTTCCAGTTTATAGCTCACAAGATACAAGTAACCAAAAAGTATCATACATTGAGTACTAGGAAGATGTTAGTCCAGCAAAATGGTAGAGTTTGAAAGGGCTGGGAAGAACTACAGCAAGCTTTCTTTGTAGGCATCAACTGAGTAAGTTTTAACTTGGGAATCTATTTGTGTGTGTGTGTGTGTGTGTGTGTGTAAATAAACATATAAATATATATAATGTATATTTATATGTTTATGTATATATATATATATATAGTGAAATAACTCCTAAAAACCAAAGGAAAAAAAAATAGCAACTCTTCCTCTCCCTTTCCTATTCTTTCTTTGTACAATCTAAGTTTTAACAACAGTTTAGATCTTATTCTGTACAGTAATTTTCTTTTGGATAGGTGGTGCTTTTGGACTTAGGCTGTTCTGTTTTTGTTTTGTTTTTTAACTACTATTTTTACAAAGCGCAATTCTGAATAGTCCATCACCTGGCAGAATTTTTAAAAATGCGTACTATGAACTAAAATCATCTCTACATAGCAGGACTTTCTAACGATAACAGAGAAATAAGTTAATCTTTTTGTATACGTATTCAAGATAGTAATAAAAAATCTGCAGTTCTGAGCCTTTCCCTGCTTTTTCCTATATGGAAGGAATTTTGCAGGGAAAAAAAAAAAACCACGCAGAATCCTGTAAACATTAACTAATTCCTGAATAAAGCAAGGGTAGAAGTGTTCCAACTTTATTTCGACATTCTGTCTTTTCCTGTACTTACAGCTCTTCTCTACTTTCATACAGGATGAAAGTGTTTTCGGCTTTGGTAGACAGTGGAAAAAATACTTCGTACTATCTGAGGTGTTTCTTCCACTCAGACCCAGGCCCTTCCATGCACTTTTTCCTAACAGGAATTTTTATTTGGCTCAAGGAGTTATTATTTGGCTGCTGCAATTTAAAACATTGCGAAAAAGTGCTACTATATCATTACATTCGTCCATTCAACACTTGAAGCTCAAAATTTGTCTGCAAAAGCTTCTTCCTATTCATAATAATCACTGTTGAATATATTTGCCTTTGTGTAGCAAAAATATGTCTTCAGAGCACAGAAAGCCAGCACTGATCACGTATCTCCTATAAGCAGAAGAAAGTTTCATGGTCCAGGAAGCTGTCGCTGCTGACAAAATTGGTTTCAGCTGCATGGCTGAAGAACTTGGCATAGTTTATTTACGTCTAGCTGTGCACATCTGCAAAGCTTTCAGATCTGCAGGACTTTCGGAAGCTTAATTTAACTTTAGTCTTGAAGAACTGCCTGATAGTCCTTCGTACTTTCATCATGTTGCACTTTCATAAAAAAAATCTCTCTTTCATCAACTTTTCACAGCTTATTTACCTATATCTGCATGCTTTTCCCGCCGATGACGGACCTCCACGTACCGCTTTGACCAAGCAGGTGACCTCTGCGAGAGCCAGCCCTCGCTCAGCTTTGACAGTCTCTTCCCGGGAGAGGCCCAGCAAGCCTCACCCGCCAGAAACATCAGCTTTCAAACCAGCTGGCCAGATTTCGCACAGTCTTGATCTGATTCCCAGCCGTCCTTACGGCCTCGCAAACCTTGCAGTAATGCTCGTCCCAGAACGAGGTGACGTGGACCTCGTATTTCTTCCTCCAGGCGAAATACCTCCTGTAGTTCGGCTTGTTCTTATCGAGGAATTTCAGGTAGGTGGCCAGCCGCCGAGGGCTGGGGAAATCATCCACGTGGATGAAAGAGTCGGGAGGGATGAAGCGCTCGTAGTTGGCTCTGCGGGGGCCGAGGACGACGGGGACGGCGCTGGCGGCGAAGGCGTTCCTCCAGAGCTTCTCGGTGATGTAGTCGGTGTGCTGGGAGTTCTCGAAGGCCAGGTAGAACTTGTAGGCGGAGATGGTGGTCACCACGCCGCCCTCGGCCAGCGCCAGGCCCCGCGCCCCGTACACGTCGATGGCCAGGTGCTCCTTCAGCTGGCGGTAGTAGCGCACCCGGGCGTGCTCCTCGTTCCAGTTGCTGATGACCCAGGCCACCAGCCGGGTCTTGCGGGGCAGGCTGAAGGGCCGCGGCGCCGGCAGCTCGTAGAGGTACCCGTAGGGCACGAAGACGGCCGAGGCGGCCCGGTAAGACATGGGCCCGCTC